GTTTGGCGATCGATGTGGGAACAAATAGCTGATACCATCTTCTAATGTAGTATAAATATTTTAGGTAAAAAGATACTTCATTTTACCAGTTATTGTCTGAGTTCAAGCAGTTTGATTATCAGTCTGTGCATTTGTAACTGTGGTAGAAGGAAGTTCTTGCAAAAAATATGATGGAATCGAAATATTAGGGACTTCACAACTTAGATATGTTGTGTGATCATTGTTCTTTCATCCGAAGATAAGTTTTTTTTGTATGTGTTTCCATAGATGTTTGAGTGCTCTGATAACTTCTTTAGTATTGTCTTCCATGAACTTAAACCTTGGTGAGAGCACAATGCTTGCTATTATTCTTATGCAATTGTATAATGATTTTTAAGTAATTAAGGTAATTATCTCTAAGTCTGGTGTTAATTTTTCACCGCCTGGAAAATATGATGAGGGGACTATTTAGGTAATGCTTGGATGAAGTAAAGGACTGGGTTTACTGGAGTTGTTCTAGGAATTTGGTATCACTGCAAATTACAACTGCTTCCTGAGATTCATAGACCAGTTCACTTGGAAAATACAAAAAACTTTCATTTTCCAAAAAAAAAAATAAGAAGAAGAAGAAGAAGAAAAAAGGGTAAGTTATTTGCTTATTTCATTTACAATGTTATAAAAAGTTCATTTTAAAGGTTTAGATAACTTGTAATTAGTTTAGCAGGTACTATTTTTTCTATGAATTTGCGTGTTGCAATCATATATTTTCTTACTTTTATTCAAGCTAACAATATAAAATGGGATGAAATAATAAAAAAATGATTTTCTAAAGGCATATCACTTTTTATTAGGAATTCAAATATCCATAACATGTTAGAAAAAATTACTGTTAAACTTCTGTGTTATTTATATATTTTTTGTTATTCTTTAAGGATAAGTTCAAAGCATATACTATATCAAGAATAGAAAAGCATAAAAGCTGAAATTTAAAATGTATTTCGAATAATGGTTTGGAGAGAAGATGCTTGAATTTTAAGTAAAAAGCAAATTGAGTTTATGATTGCTAAATAATTTGCAACTAAATGAAACTTGAAAAAATTATATTTATGATTAAAGTTTGATTTTAAATTAGTGATGAGAAATCTCCATTCTTTGTATTTCCGAATTGAACTGAGCTGTCCCAAATAGTCCAAATTTCTGCACCAAACCAAACCATCCAGATTTCAATTTGGTTCTGGAGTTTGGATTTTGATGGTCTCTTATTATTGGTTTGGTTCCAGAGATCTCCATATCGTTGGACACCCTCTGAATGTCCTTAGCATTACATCTAGTAAAAGATGGCAGATGGGTAATATATGTTTTTCGGTTGTACATGCTGTTACATATTTTTCTTATATTACTTGTAGTAGCATCCTGTCTCCGATTACTTCGCTCATATATTGGCACTTCAGTTCGTTATAAGAACCTGACAAATTGCTATTTGCCCTCTTTATTTATAAATAAATCTATGCTTATTTATTTCTTCAGTTATTCCATGTCTCAATCTAGTTCAAAGAAAGAAACTATTGGTGTTTAAAATTGACTTCATTAGGTATTTGCATAGCTGATTCCATTGTTAATCTGCTAGAACATGCATCTGATTTGACTTTTGCAACTGCTTCCTGTTCTTTCATTGAACTTACATTGTTTAGTGTATGCCAGGCTAACTCCAATGGGAACAGACACTGGGAGCTGGTATTTTGGGTTAAATTATGATCAGTGGGTGGCACTTCCAATATCTGGTTATCGACCTGCTGCTCGTTACAAGGTTGTGTTCAATGAAAATTTCATTTTGTTAATTCTATAAGCCCTCATCTATTTTTATATTTATCTGCCCTTCTGTGTTTTCATATCCTTGTATAATAAAATAATTTCATTTTTTACACTTGAATTGACAACTCGCTACATTTTTGTTGTAATTGTTTCTGATGCATTTTTTCTCCCCGTACAGCATGCATCAACCATAGTTGATGGAAAGTTATTCATTAATGGTGGAAGTCGCAATGGTAGATATTTATCTGATTTTCAGGTGTGCTATTCTCCTTACTATTAACCATAAGTATTTTCCTTTAACCATCAAGCACCTGTTATATTCATCCGATGCTTTCAGGTTCTTGATCTTAAAAGTCTGACTTGGTCAACAATAAAATTGAACATGGAAGCCAATGATCTGAAAAGTAAAGATGGTATCCCTTTGAATGCTTTCCCCCGAATCTCTGGTCACAGTATGGTGAGATAGTATTAAACATTCATACAGTTGCTATTAAATATTATATATTCGCAACACGGCAACAGTCACCATCCATGGTTTCTTTTTATGCTGCCAACTGATGTTTGGAGTTATATCAACATTTTCTTCAAATTGATCTTGTCTGATTTATCTAGTCCTAAATTTTAATTCCCAGATCAAGTGGGAAACAAAACTTCTCCTTCTGGCTGGACTCTCGAAGGATAGCAGTGACTGGGTGACAGGTTTGTTTTACTGGATGTAATGTAGAGTTGCTGAAGTTCCAAATTCGATCTGAGTGATCCCATCAAAGAATTTTTGGGATTTCGTTAACGATTTAGTTTCTTTTGTAGCAAATGCTAATTTTCCCCTTTCATCCTCACCCTTTGGTTTATTCCTCTCTGCAGTACGTTTCTTTGATCTTGAATCCTACAATTGTGGTGTTGTTGAGACCTTTGGAAATGCTCCGGTAATGTACCGATCTTCTGATTTTTCATTACAATACCGGTTACTTTTCAACCTTACTAGCTATGTTCTTGTTAGTTAGGTGTGAATTGATCAACTCCTGCTGTGACATAATTATGAGGTGTTATTGTGACACCGATTAGGTGAATCGCAGTGGGCAATCTGTTACACTGTTCAGTTCTAAACTTATCATGTTTGGTGGAGAAGACTGGAATGGGCGGCTACTGAATGACGTTCATGTTCTTGATTTGGAGACAATGACATGGAATGCTGTTGAGACTACGTCTGTTCTCTCAAATTACTTGAATCCAAATACATATCCACTGAGCTGTTCTTAGTATTTTATTTCACTTCGGCAGGCAGACACCACCATCTCCCAGATTTGATCACTCGGCTGCACTACATGCTGAACGTTATCTTTTTATATTTGGCGGATGTTCTCATTCTGTCTTTTTCAATGATCTCCATGTGCTGGACCTGGAAACGGTATACTTCCCATCTTGTAGCCAGCTTTAGTTTTTAGATTGCATTTGTATTATTGTACCAGCCTAGCATGATTCAAAATGTAAGTGAATAGAAATTCGCGTGGAAAGAATCACTAATGAATACAATAGATTCTTGTTTCTTTTTTGGTAATGGCCTACGCTGTTTTGTGGATTGAAATTCCTGTCCATAATGCAATGATTCTTTCTATTGGCTAATTTTATCGAAAGTAAAAGCCAAATATTAATTGTGATTCATTTAAGTATTGCACCTGACAGCTTGACTAGTGCTTCTCAGAGTTGCATCTAATTTTCTTAATGTCTTAGTAGACGCAGATAATACTGTTAGAGTTATGTTTCAAAACATAGAAAATAAGGACCTTTTGCAATTTAGGCATCAAACAAAGGATATGTTCGGGAGATTTATCTGAACAGCTAGTTTATACCTGACTAGTACGTATCCCGTGCGATGCACGGGATAGAGATATTAAATGAGTTATTTTCACAGTCTTGTCCGTTTAAGTCTAAAGTAATAGGGTTATTATCTATTTTCTACTTCTTTTAATCAACGTTAAGTCTAAAAAACAATAGGGTTATATAAGCTTTTTTCCACATCTTTTAATCAACGTTAAGTCTAAAAAACAATAGGGTTATATAAGCTTTTTTCCACATCTTTTAATCAGCGTTGTTTTTTTTAGCCAGAACATTAAATATGAGTATGTTAGGGCTAGCTTGTAAAATAATTAATATATTATCTTACTAAAACATTTATACTAATAAAAATATAATTTTAGCATATAAATTTATCCCTTGATATAAGAGAAAGTAACAGTTTTACTTATCTTGTTCACCAAATAATATTTAATTATTATTTTATTATATAATAAAAAGGAATACTGTTAAATAGTGTAGTAGAATTGTTATGAAATTATATGAATTATTTTTTTTACAATATGGATTTAATATCTTTTTATGTTTTGATAAAATTATTATAATATATTTTTAATGATATAATAATATGAGATACGAATTTACTTAATACTATGAATTTATTCCTTAATGTTAAGAAATTGAATTAGGTAATATATGATCCACTAATTTGTAATCTGTTTCTTTTAATATTGAAAATAACCATGTGATTGAGTAGAGATAACAATTATCTATGAATTCTTTCATTTAACGAATAATTTTTAAATTGGTCCAAGTGATGAATGCAACACGATTTTCTTGTAAATAAAATGAGAAGAGATTTTGAATTTCAAAATTTCACTTCAAAACCACACTTAAATTGAGATGTAGATTTTATTAAAAATGAATTCAACAAAACCCATAATTTTAGGGGCATTTAATGCTACCCTATTTTATGATTTAAAAAATCTAAAAACTTTCTAAATATGGTGTGCAATTAATTATGAGTTGACTTTTCCGTAAATGGGATGACTTTTTATATAAGTATAGATGAGTTAATTGATAATAATAAGTTAATTCCAGTAGCTGATTGCTCATGACTAAAAAGCTAGTTGGTATAATAAAAATGTTTGGCAACATAAGCTGGTATGTTGACTGAAACAAAAATATCAATAAGCAATAAGCTAGCATATGGTGGTTGGCAAACACACTCAACGAACAGTCTTTATTCTTTTTACAGAGGGAAGAAATTTAAAACATTCAGTTCCATAGCAAGAGTTTGCTTTAGGGATTAATTTGACAAAATGGATGGTTATCGCGGATTTTACAGAGTGATTTATTGATAAAATGAACACTATCTAGTTAAGGGAGATGGGGCTTAATTCATTATTGTTTTGCAGATGGAATGGTCCCAACCACAAATGCAAGGTGATTTGGTGACTCCCAGGGCAGGTCATTCCGGTATTGCAGTTGAAGGAAATTGGTTTATAGTTGGTGGTGGAGATAATAAAAGTGGTACGTTGAATATGGAGTCTATATTTTCTATAATATATTTCTTATTCTTCTTGCTTCATCTGTTCTCTGTCTCTATTTTTTGATTTTTCTCTCTTATTTTCTTTCTCTGTCTATATTTCTTATTTTCCTTCCCCCTACCCCCACCAACACCTTTGGATTTCCATTACTAGTATAAGATGGACTATTTTTCTTGCAGGTGCGCTGGAAACCATCAGTATAAATATGTCTAAACTTGTTGTGTCTATACTGACTAGTGTAAAAGAAAGAGACCCACTAGCTAGTGAGGTATAAACTTCCTTCACTTTACTCCGATTACATAGAGTTAGTATGCTGGAGAATACTAATCAGAAGGGAGTTAAAAATAATGGCTTTACATATCCCTGTGTTCACTTGTGCCAGAAAATGCCTGGTTGTCTTGCTCAGTGTTTTCGTAGTTTCTAGCTGTTGTACAATAATGTTCTAGGTGGGATTATTGAGAGAAAGAGTTGGTCCTTTGATTTTGCTGCTAGTAAGATAGTGCGATATGTTCTTGTTCAGTTAGATACGGTCCATACGGATTTCAATTTATAAATCAAAGACTGGATGACGAAGATTCTGGAATGATAATGAGGGTTAGCCAATAAATTTATGAGAGGATAGTGCGAGCTTGTATTACGTCACATTGTTTTATACGTCAGTTTGAGTTGCAGCATTTACAGTTCTTTTACATGATACACATGCATTTTTTTCTGCACAAAGCTAATGAGGCTTGAAACAGGGAATTAGCATTTCTTCAGCATCACTAGGTGGTGATACGTTTTTGATAACTTTCGGTGGCTACAACGGGAAGTATTTCAACGAGGTATGGTTGTGGAAGTATGTCTATTTTCTTATTCTTCATTTTTTCAACATGAGAAAGGATTATGTCATGAGTTTGGGATATGCATGATGCTGATATTCTTATCATCTTATGAATAAGCTTGGGTGGAAGTGGCCTATTAGATTTTGCCAAGGGAGCACAGAGATTATACATCCTTATTTTGATTATATAGTAGGCATGCTGGTCTATGATATATGAGGAACCTAGTCAATGTACAATTCGGGGTAAGATTTTCTTGATTGGGATTCATAGTGTTCCTCGTGGAAAGTTTGACAGATGCCCGACCCTTTGGGCCTTTTCTTTGCATATGTTCATAATTAAGTTGTCGAAAATAATATGCAAAAAGGTCTAACATTTTCCATATTTATTTCCGCCACATATCTGAAGATTGTTTAAAAGAAAATGCTAGTAATTGCTCTGTTAGAACCACCTGATTTGTCGGCGGTAACACGGCCGAAACACAAGACACAAAAGAAGCTCACGCGAAAACAAGAGAATATGATCTTGTTTTGGTGCTCTTGCATTGACAACTTTTCTTGTGTTATTGTATTGCTTAAATAGAGGAATACAAGGAACTAAATTAAGGCCTGCAAATTAAGATTACTTAGAAACTATAATCATGCCAATATTAACAACTAATTTAGGGAAGCAACTAAGCAACTAATGAAAACAATTAAACTAATTTAGGTGCACAAGAATTATATTCTCAAATAAAATATTTCCTACAATCTTCTCCTAAGCCCTATGCACATTGCTTACATTGATGAGGCCGCTTTTAGAGCGCACTTCATGGAACTTAGTCCTCCCATGCGGCTTCGTGGTTGTTCTTCGCTCCCAATGAACTCGACACTAATCAAGTCTTCTTCTGCAACTCTCAGACAAAATGATATTTCACTTGAATGTGCTTCCTCTGTCCTATGCTACCTGGACTCGGATATGGGTGGCGTATCGGGTGTGGAGATATGAGCGTTCGACTCGTCAATAGTTTAGAAATCTTGAACATGTTAGGCTAAAATGCCACACCCGACACCCATACCCACACCAGTGTTGACACGGCATGACACGGGTATTCTTCCTAAATAGAAGAAGAGTTTGGGTAACATAGCCTCTGTCTGGGTTCTTGGTTAACGCAATGACAGTGTTGTCCACCCTTAGCATTGGCGTTCTTCGTTCTGATCCGATCAGCACCTCAGCTAACACCCAGCCAACACCCGAGCGAGCCACAATGCTTGGCTAGCAGGGTTTGCAGCTGGTATGTATTCTGCCTCACAGCTTCATTGTGCCACCACCTTTGTGCTTCATGGATTGCTAGGTGATCAAGCTAAGTGATTAGGTGATTAGGCTGTTGTGGAGAAAGAAAATCACCCTGGTTGTGGTCATGCTAGCATCAACATTCCCTTGTCACTGAAACTGGTATAGCGAGCTTCATTCTCCTACTTCCTGCCAAACAGAGTCCCCAATTCTTGGTTCCTGCCATATAGCGGACAATGTGCTTCACGACAGAAAGTTAATTCTCACGTGAGTCCTCTAGGAACCGACAGAACCGACTACCATAGGCAACAGAAAAAGGCATTCCTCCTCCGTGAGATACAATTTTCCTTCGTGCTGCAGCGACGCTGGAGCTTCTTCATACCCTTCCTCCGCCTCCTTCAGTCGCCCAGTCAGTTCAACGACCGTCATGTTCGACACGTCGAGCAATGTCTTGATCGCGATTGAGATATGTTTGAACAGAGGGGGCAGGGTGCGGAGTATCTTCGCGATGATCTCACCAATTCCACTCCAGCGTGGCGAGGTGTGCCACCATGCCGGCGTAACGCATATTCCCTGACATTTTTGCCGTCTTCAAAAGCAGCGAGGTTGAATTTTGAATTTTCAACGTAGCTGCTGCGCCATCGACCTCCTGAAGCGGTCGTCCCCGACCTTCACGGTCGCGATCGCGTCTTAGCCCTCTGATAAAGATGGAGGTTTCGAGGCCCGAGCATGCTGAGAGTCGAGGGTGGAAGCGATCGGACAAGACCGTGCGAAGGCATGGATAGAGTGTACATGGACAAAAAGACGAGAACGAGCTGGTATGTGAGGCGCACGAGCACGAGGAGCTTGCGCGGGTGTGACGCGAAAAAGGCCGAAGACGTCACGCGAGCAAGCGCGCGGAGGCGTGAGCGGACGTGATGCGCAAATGCCAAGACGTACGAGCCAAGGAGTGAAGATTCTAGAAGATACTTGTTTAGATGAATTAGTTTAATTAATTATTTTCCTTAGATTAGTTACTTTGGTGTATATATATGTATATAGTGAGCGCGAGGTCAGTGGGATGTTAGTATAATTACTATTTAGCCTATTAGTAGGTTAGTATTAATGTTAGTTCATATATATATATATATATATATATATATATATATATGCCGTAAGTTAATTAGATAGTTAGGCTTTTGATTGTTTGGAGTGTTGGCAGAATTAGTAAAGCCGTGAGTATGTTGGCGGAATTAGATTTACTCACGTGAGTAATTAGTTTAGGTTAGGATATATTTTATTTAATTGTTAGGGGTTTTGAGTTATTTGGTAAGTCTTAGGATGGTAGATATTTAGTTGCCTTAGAATTAGTATTTGATTCTTATTAGGACTAGTATAGGCTCTGTCTTATTTTCCTATAAATAGCCTATGTACTCATTCAATTTTTATAATATATTGAATGAAAAATTGACCATTAGTCACCAATTTGGTGTGTTTGAATTCTTTGAGTTTTATCATACAACCTTGTGTCGAAAAGGGCGTAACACTGGATAGTTCGTTATAAGATCGAGTTTGGCAAGGATTAACGTATGAGCTGTCTCAAAACCGTGAGAAGATAAGGAGAAATCCAAGTCTTCCACAACCTATCGCCGATAAGGAAGCCGTGACAAACAACTTTCGAAGCAAACCAACTATCGAGATACACGATCTTCATCAGCCTCTCTCGCCGTCTCCTTTTTGGCGACCATCGCTACCATCTCCGTAGGCACCGCGCTGCACAAAAGCGTCGAGTGCCATCATCTCCTCTTGTGGATCGGCACCGCCATCCTCGATCACGCTCCAGAGTCCTGACCTTCAATTTGACCTTCATCAACGCAGCGCCCAGTCGATGTAATTGGTCTTGGTGAGATAGCTACTCCCGCCGCTCACCTCACGCATCAACTCGCTGGATCACAACGCTATCCTTAGGCGTTCTTCTTCCCACTCATTCCAAGTACGAGTAGTGTAACGCCCCGTTTTAATTTAAACAGTTTACCAAATTTATTTATTAAAAATCAGAGTAAATTTTTCGCAAAAAATTCAAATTAAAACTTTAAATATTAAAGGGCGCTACTTAACAACAAATAAGCAAGTAAGAATGACTATAAAGAACTTACGCATGCAAACTACATCATGATAATCAAACTAAAATATCATAAGTTTCAAACCAAACCAATTCAACATATCCAATTATTAAATGGTCCAACATGTTAAATAAGGCGGAAGCATAATAATAAACACTTCAACATAGATAAATAAAGCGGAAGCAAAAGACTCGACAATCCAATGACCACCACTTGCTCGTATCTCGCTGCCGCCGCCGCCAACACCGCTCAACCTAAAGATAGAAAGAGGAAACAAAAGGTCAAACAACAATGGGGGTGAGCAATACCATCATGCTCACCAATACCGCACAGTATATTTCGCATAATGATCCGAAACCATAATTAAATTATGCATAGAGTCCAAGCTCTAACTCCCTATATGACCACTATCGCAAAACTCCTATATACATACAACAACCTTCCGATCAAACATCGGCAAGGTGTAACCGGAAACCTTCCCTCTTTAGTTCGACATAGGCAAAGGGATCATTTCCAGGAGACAGTGGAGCTGTTTTTCCCCCCGAACATCACACGAATCAGGGCGTCCTCCTCCCTGATACAACGGGCAGGTGACCTTTCATTGCTTATGTATTCATCAAAGACACTACCGGCGGGACACTTAGACTAGGGTTCTCACGCATATAACAGCTATCGAGACGAACATTTATACGAAATAACATGTGCGATAATTATAGATACAACGTAAATGTACGCACCTGGAAGTAGCGACAAACACACAAATGCGAGGCTCAGATAAATGGTGAGGTAATCACCTCAAAACACCTACACGAAATCAAGATAGCCTCTCGATTACTAATAATCTAACGAACACATAAACTTAGTTAAACACTTCAACTAAGTTGCTCGTGGAAGGTCTCGTGGAGTTATGGAACATTTGACTCGACTGGGACCAAGTATGGGAAAAGCACATAATAATCAAATAATGGTTGACCTAGTCAAACAAAAAGTCAAAGGTCAACTGAGGTCAAAGGCTCGAGAAAAAGTACGAAAATTTATTCACGAACTTGGGCTCGCACGATGCAGGGCGCTGCCTGCAGGCCTGGGCGCAGCCTCGGGCGCTGGCACGCTGCCGAGCGCGGGTGCTGCTGGCAGGCAGCACCACTTAAGGCACCTCTCGGGTTATCTCAAAATCTACCCGAGAGTTTGACTCCAAAATTTAAACACATATAAATCAGCATCAGAGAACATCATACAAGAAAGATTATACAAAATTTCACACTTAAATAAAACGAATAAGATTTTGCCAAATTTCGACAAGTAAGGCACATTTTCAAGATGACCAGCCAAATGAATGAGTTTTAATCTAAAATTTGGACACATAATAGAACATACTGAGCATAGAATATTCACCAAGTTTCAGCCCCAAAACTTAAACATGTGATTTTATAAAAATAAAACAATTTTGCTGCAAAAGCAAGTAGGAATTTAATGATGGACCTAATGAATGATTCGGGACTTAGAAATTTTATGACAACAACTACAACATGCTGGAAATAACATATAAAAATTTCAAGTATAAAAAATAAACATGTGATTTATGAAAATTATAGCAAGTTTCAGCATATAACATGATTTGAACAAAAACTTCACAAAACGAATCCAATAATTCCTGGGATTTTTACGACATCAAATATCATATCAAATAAGACCTAGTTTCATGCATTTACATCAAGATCTCAATTTATCATGAATTTATCAAGTTTTTGCAGTTTTGAACAATTAAACATTTAACTAAGCAAAAGAACTCCAAAATTTATGAAAATTTAACACGAGATCAAAACACATCAGGGGAGCAACATATCCAGAATTCAGAACTTTTGGATAAAAATACGATTTATCATGCATTTTACAAATCTCAACGAACACATAATATTCAAAATTCAATAACCTGAAAAATATAAGTCCAAAATGCACAAGGTCAAAACCATTGTGATTAGGACACAAAAATATTCCATAATCCACGAGGTAACCACGAGTTTAATTCTGATGCTAAGGATTTCATATATAAACCCTAAGATCTAAATATTAACAACTCATAATATAACATATGTTAACATATGCATTCAAATAACTCATGAATATAATATAATCAACAATTTACACATATAATCACCTAGAAATATTGGAGTTTAGCAAAATTTACCAAACACCAAAAGGGGATGACGAACGAGGCGCGGTCGTGGCTCGGTTGGATCCTACAGGCGGGGAAATCGTCCGCTTAGCTCGCTCGGCGTCTAATGGCGGCTCGCTTGTCGAATATGGTGATCTCCGGTGGCTCGAACACGGACGTTGAACGCGTGAAGAGGGCAGCAGGTCGCGGTCGTAGCTCATTGGCGAGTATCGCGCGCGGGGCTTGGCGATGGCGAGGCAGTGGGGCGTGCGGCGTTGCGACGAGCTCGGGGATTGTCCGACGAGAAAAATGAGAGGGAGAGGGAGGAAGAGAAACCTCTGAATTTTCAGCAAAAGAGGGGAGAGAGAGTGAGGGACGAGTGAGAAAAAGTGAGGGAGAAAAGAGGGGGTCAACCTTCTTTTAAGTCTTAATTTGTAACCTCTCTCTCATATATGATCAATGCATGGAATAAGGGCTAGTATTAAGGGATATGGGGGTTACTAAAATAAATTTGAATTTAAAATGCAAGAGCATCTAGAAGATGCATGCATGGGGCGGCCAAGGGTCGGGCGTGGGCATGGTGCGGTTCAACGGCTCGACTCGGTTCGATTAATAATTAATTTCGGCTCAATTAAATAAATTATTAAAACATTTAGACAACTATTATCACATAATCAAATAAAATATTAATCGAGCACGAACTAAATAATCTCGGACGAAATAAAATAAATAAATAATAACAAAAAATTCCGGGACAAATGGGGCGCTACAAGTAGCTTTGATGCCACTTGTTAGAACCTCGTCGGAGAGACAACATCCAGTTGCCGATTATATCATGGTCAAAACACAAGACACGAAAGAAAATCATGCGAAACACAAGAGAACACGATCTTGTTTGGCACGGTTGCATTGACAACTTTTCTTGTGCTATTCTATTGCTTAAATATAAGAATACAAGGAATGAAATAAGACCTACAAATTAAGATTGCATGGAAACTATAATCACGCCAATATTCACAACTAATCTAGGGAGGAAACCAATGAAAACAAGTAAACTAATCTTTGCCTGCTTTGTTTGGGAAAAATGTAAATCTGAACCATCTTAAAAGGCGTGAATTGTAATGTACTGTTAAAATGAGTAGGCTACTCATTTTATCAGGTGCCAAATCCACCAAGCTCCTGTTTAAATATGCTGAGTACAGGTTATAGATTCCATGCACTTTTGGTTGTAGATGATGGTTAACCTTAATATTTGTTCACGCCTTATATGTTGTCTTCCTTCAGTTCATAATTTCATTTTATCTATTATAAATTGGCCATTGTGGAAAATATCAGTTATAGGTGTAACCTATTCTATATTAGTTTGAGTATCAATGCTCACCTGGAAAAACATTACTGCAGACAAGTGCTTTGTCTTAGCTTGTGTTGATTTAAGAGATGCCTTAAGGCTTTGTCTTAGCTTGTGTTGATTTAAGACATTCCTTAAGATGATCTCTTTTTGGTCCAAACTGTTAATTTTCATGTCTCAATATTTACTAGTATGGCCTTCTGCTTTTTCTTGTATAGGTTTTTGTTATGAGGGTCAAACCAAGGGATTCACTAAGTCCTAAGCTATTGCAATCACCAGCGGCTGCTGCTGCTGCTGCTTCAGTTACAGCTGCATATGCATTGGTAAAATCTGAGCCATTGGATATGACTGAAAATGATGATCCAAATTCTAAAGTAATCGCCATAGATACCACTCAGCAGAATCTTTCTGTACAAATCAATTCAATGAGAGAAGGCAAGAAGGCCTTGGAGTTGTCACTTACCGAGATAAAGACTGAGAACTCTGCCATCAAGGTTAAGATTGAAGAAGTTAATGGAAATTATGCTGAGCTGTCCAAGGTATGGTTAGCTAAAAAAAATGCTTAAAAGTTATTTGCAATTGCAGTTGGTGAAACTTTGTTACTGTTCATGAACTGGCTGCAGGAACTTCATTCAGTGCAAGGACAACTGGTTGCTGAGAGATCAAGATGCGCCAAATTAGAGGTGTGCCATTTTTATCTGTGGTTCTCTTATTTTTAGACATTTGATATTTCGTTAAATCATCTTCTCAATTGCTCGGGTTAGCTTGGTTTGATTTTCACAGGAGTTGTGAAATAACCAAATCAGGAAATAGATAATTGATAATATCAATTCCGAAGTTACTAACTCGGGATGAATCCAGGCCCATATTAAGGCCATTACTTCGGGAAGAATATTACTGCCCGGCTTAAAGCCACCAATCCTGTTGAACAAATATAATTGGTATTCTAACCTTACAGGCCTAAAGCCCAATTATTTACGTAATTAAAATAAAATATGACATAATTAATCATCAATCTATCTCTTAACGCACTAGGCCTATGTTTTCTTAATTTTTTTTTTTTTTTTTTAAAATTTATCACCATTGAGTTCTATCCAAAGTTTTAAAAGAGGGAAAATGACAGTAATTTAGGCTCCATTTGGATGTGAGAATATTAAGGAAATGATTTCGCTTATTGAGTTTGCATGCAAAAATTTTTTAGATTCGTGTACTTCCATTTTGGACTATTTTATGCAGCCATTGTCTATCTCATGTTGGTTGGATTATGGAGTCATCTAAACTCCTTCCCCGAAATCATCTCCTCAAATTCCTTTGATCCTGATGCAATCTGGTTTCTCTTTCAATGCATTTCTTACTATTTTATTAACCACACTTGTCAAAGGGGTGTCAGAATAGTTTGTTCTATCTATTATGGGTAACGTTCTATCCATTATTGTGTTTACCAGGCACAAATAGGGGAGCTACAAAAAATGCTTGAATCACTGCCATCATTAGAAAGAGAGGTTGAGTCCCTTCGGTCTGAAAAATCTGCATTCGAACGTGATTTGGAGCTTGCTGCATCTGTCCAGACACAAAGGTCTGGTGGTGTTTGGAAATGGGTTTCTGGTTGATTACTGAACCATGTTGCCTCAGCCCAATGGTCAAGGGCCATTAGTGGGTTATAAGTGATCACAAATTTCGCAACACAGATTACCCATCTAATACATGATGTGTTCCCTACTTATTTTCTCTTAACAATATGCAAGCATATTATTTGTAGTGATCTCTATGTTAACCATAATATATATATATATATATATATATATATATATAGGGGGCGGACCAAATGAGGCAGCTCTTATAATGAAGCCAGCTCTTAAAATGCGGACACTAACCTAGCACAATCAAACAACTAACCTAGCAGCGTCAGACAACTAACCTAACAACTGTAGAGACTATGCATTTTTTAATTTTTTTCCAATTGGTACATAAAATAGAAGTTGAGAGCATTGTTATGAAAAAAAAAACTTCGAAAAATGAGTCTCGATTAGGGAGATATAGAGGTTTAAAAATACAAAAAATGTATTTTTTTCTTAAAAATGAAACTAAAGCAAGAAAAAGGCATTTTTTTTAAAATTCGGGTAGTTTGCAGCTGCGTAGATCTCGTCGAGTTACACCAAATAAAAAAAAATTCGTCCAAAGCGGAGCTTTCTACGCAAAGTTATAGCCTTTCAAAGTTTTGCTATGTGACCCTGTAAATTTTCATCATGTAGTTGCAACTACAAACAACTAACCTAGCACCATCAGCCAATTAAACTAGCAGAATTAGACAATTAATCTAGCACCATCAGACAACTAACTTAGCAACTACTAACATAGCATAATCAGACAACTAACCTAGCACCATCAGCCAATTAAACTAGCAGAATTAGACAATTAACCTAGCACCATCAGACAACTAACCTAGCAACCACTAACCTAGCACAATCAGGCAACTAACCTAGCACAATCAGACAATTAACCTAGCACAATCATACAACTAACCTAGCACCATCAGAAAACTAACCTAGCACAATCAGACAACTAACCTAGCACCAACAGACAACTAACCTAGCAACAAATAATTACTAACCTAGCACCAACAGACAACTAACCTAACAAATGATTACTAACCTAGCACTAAAAGACAACTAAACTAGCACCAACAGACAACTAATCTAGCAACAACATACAACTATCATTGTAAATTGATAAAACTAACCTAGCAGAGATATATAACTATCCTAGCAACAGAATATAACTAACCTAGCAAGAACACATACCTAAACTAGCACCATCAGACAACTACCCTAGCAGAAATATATAACTAACCTAGCAACAAGACACAACTAACCTAGCACCAACAGACAACTAACCTAGCAGAGATATATAACTAACCTAGCACCAACAGACCCTCCTAGCTGAGGATCTGGAGCAGCCGGACGCCTCGACCAGTGGTACGTCCATTCACTTAGCTGATGACAGCACTCGAGGTGTTGTTCCTTTGTATGTCCATTCATCTAGCCAGGACCGCTCCCTGGAGATGAGGACAGCTCCCGCCACCGCTCCCCCGAAAGGGGAAGAGCCGACACATCTTCCCTCTGCTGAGCTTGAGAGCTCGGCTGAGCATATAGCTACTCTCCAGCCTCACTCTCTTGGTGAGCATCCGAGTGCTCCACCGAATGGAGCCTCTCTCCCTTCCATCCCGGAGCAGGCATGCGGTCTTAACCGCGCTCAGCATGACGTCTCGTGCGAGAGTTTTGCCTCTAGCGCATTCGTCCACTTTGACAGACAGGAGACGGCCCCAGAGATGGGGCAGGTCCCTAGTGCTGCTTTGGGTCCGATTGCTCAGCCCGATGACTCGCAGGCTACGAGCACTTACCGAGGGCGTCCCCCCTCGAAGACTAGACCCACACCGCGCGTGACACGACGGACAGTCTCCCCTGCCCTTCGATCCTTTCGCCACCTCCCCCCTCCTTCAGGTGGCTCGACCCAGCATCGCCACAGTCGGACCACGTCTGGTGGCTCTCACGACTATTGATATGTCTATTACATCTATTACCTGGAATGGCCGGGGCCTGGCTAATAGGGCCACTCTCGCTCATCTCCACTCTCTCATACGTGATCATAGATTGGATTTCGTTGGCTTTTTAGAGCCGATGATTCGCACCCCTGATTTTGACTATTACTCACGCCGCCTTGGCTTCCACTCGGGCGTGGGTAACACTTCGCATAAGATCTGTTTCTTCCATTCGCGTGACTACACCTGTCGGGTCCTCCGGGATACCGACCAGGTGCTTCATGTCGAACTTTCTGCGGCCCACCTCCCCGAGCCCATATTTCACACCTTGGTTTATGCCAAGTGTAATAGGGCCGGGAGATATGATCTCTGGGACACCCTGCGTGAGATTGCTGAGAGCATGGAGGGATTGCCATGGATGATTAGTGGCGATTTCAACATCTTTCTGCATCCCGATGAGCGTGTGGGTAGCCTTTTGGATCGTTCTAGGGAGATGTGGGACTTTGTTCAGGCTGTGGCGGACTGTGAGTTGATTGACGCTGGATGTGAGGGTGAGCCCTTTTCGTGGGTTAGGGACGATCTCAAAGAGAGGCTCGACCGTGCTTTGGTTTCTGAGGCGTGGTCGAAGGTGTTTGCGGTCACGGTCGTCTCACACCTCACTCGATTTGGGTCTGATCACTCACCCCTCCTCATTAAGTGTCGATTTTCGAGCACCCCTCGTCGCTCATCATTTAGGTTCCTGAACATGTGGGTTCGCCACCACTCCTTCCATGACACTGTCAGGGACTCCTGGCTTCAGCCGACTGGGCTCTTCGGGATGCGCAATCTTGAGGCGAAGCTCGGCAGACTGCGGCGTAGGTTGAGACAGTGGAACTGGGATGTTTTTGGAAACCTCCATCAGCGCCTTTCCGCGGCTCAGAGTGCGCATGCGGAGGCTGAGCGGGCCTATGACCTGGACCCCACTCCAGAGAATAGGACTGCGATGCGCCGCTGCCATGCTGAGTACCAGCTCCGACTCCTTATGAATAAGGATTTTTGGAAGCAGAAGGCGGCCGTTCGCTGGGTGGCCGAGGGCGAGCGGAATACTAGGTTCTTCTAGGGTTTTGTTAGGCAGAAGCGTACTAAGTCGCACATCCACAGTATTGAGGCTGATGGGTCACTCCTGACCCAAGAGTCTCAGATTCGGGAGTCGGCTACTGCCCACTTCCAGACCCTTTTCACCTCCGACAGAGGGGCTCTTGATGCCCCAATCGCTTCTTTCTTTCCCACCATTCCTCCTTCGGTCGACCTCGTCGGCCTCAGTGAGCTCCCGAGTAGGGAGGAGGTTAGGGAAGCTGTTTTCGGGATTGATCCCAACAGCGTTTCTGGCCCCGATGGGTTCTCTTCTCTCTTCTATCAGGTCTGTTGGGATATTGTCGAGCCTGATGTTGAGGAGGCTATGTTGGATTTCTTCTCCGGTCACCGGATGCCAGATTCCTTCACATCTACCTCTGTCGTCTTGATTCCCAAGAGACCCAATCCGAGTTCTTGGTCCGATTACAGGCCCATCAGCCTGTGTAACGTGACCAATAAGCTCATTTCGAAGATTCTTAACGGTCGCCTTTCCCCTCTTCTCCCCTCCCTCATCTCTCCGAACCAGAGTGGTTT